CATAGGAATAAATCTGTCAGATCACTGTTGGATTTTCAGTACCCAATGGGTAGTTAGTATTTAAGGCAACGGGTCTTATACTTTTAGAAATCTGAAGCACAGCAGCCAACCTATATTAATATTCTCATAATTTACCCATCATTTTAATTTTAATTCTGCCACTGTTAAGTGCTTAAAAGTCATTGAATTCACTGAAAGAAGTTAATCGCAAGGTTATCTTTCATTGAATATAATTCAATAGATATTTCTACAAATAGCATAGTTTTTAAAGGTATATGGAGTATAATGGGAGGATGCAAGAGAATTTCCTATTGCACTGGCAAGAGATAAGATTCAATATAGGATAGATTTATTAGATTATATCCTGTTTGAATAAACATTGAATAAATACAAATTAAACTCTTTAATTTTACAACATATAGACAGACTTAACCATAGTTTCAATTGGAAAAATATGACTATCCTCGATCAAGCCAAGTCCCCAAAAGCTAGGGAATTTCTAGAAGCCTGGCACTTTTACAAATTAGCCATCAATTAGACACATAGGCATTAACAATACTTATAGACTAGGGGTGTCAAACTCAAGGTCCAAGGGCCTTATCTAGCACACGGGGTGCTTAAATCTGGCCCCTGGGTCAGCCTGGAAATATCAAGGGACTGGCCCGTGGTGCCTCTGGTGGTTAAAATGGGCCATGTCCACAGACCCTTGTACTTTGTTTTCACCCTCCATGGCCTCCTGCGCACTCTGCCGGCCAAAACCAGGCCCAAAATGGGGCAAAAACAGGCCAAAAATGGCCTAAAAACAGGCCAAAAAATGGGCCGTTTTGGCTGGCAGAGTGTTGCAGGAGGCCATGGAGGGCAAAGACAAGGTGAAGAGGGGGGCCACACGCAGACCCCCACACCCTGTTTTGGCCAGCAGGGTGCTGCAGGAGGCATCCGTCCCGCCTCCACCCATCCCCAGCCCGCAGAGGAGAACTACAATGTTGATCCAGTCTCGTAGAAATCCAGTTTGACACGTCTCATATAGACTATGAAAAACAGACAATCAACTAACCAAAAAAGAACAAAAAGACCCAAGCACCTCTCCACCAGCAACCAGATTATTCCAAGATTAACATCAGACCAACAATCAAGTTAAACAATACCCCAATCAAAAAAACTGCCGAAGAAGCCAACAGCAAGCAGCACAACTAACGAATCTCTAAGGCTACCCCCACCAACACTGACAGGCCAAGCCACCGGAATATAAACTGACAGCAAACTCCACTCTTTACCAGCACTGATGATGTTACCTAGTTTGGATAATGAAACATCTGCAAGAAAACAAACAAGCTCAGATAGAACCAAGGACCCCTCATTTCAACCCTAAACTGTGAATCCTTTATTTAAATAAGCATTAATAAATTTTCATCCCCAGAATCAATGGATTTATCATTTCTAATTGTGTTTTGTTTCCTAAGAATAATCTGTGTAATTAACTATTTAATTCAGAGTTACAAATAAAGACTGCCTTTTAGACATAATTCCTTGTTAATTTGGGATTATAAACGGGATTTGTCCATGTGGTTGTTCATATGCTTATTTTCTTGCCTGCAATTGTTTAGCAGGCCATTTACAAGCTCAACACAACCAGCTGAAAATCTTAAAAACCAGCTACACTGAAATTAAAATAATAAAGGAAATCACCTACAAAATAATTAAAGGCGGCTCCACAAAGCCAGTTTGAACAAAAGGAGATGAGTGTGAAGCCGAATGAGCTTCCCATGGAGATGCCATGAAAATACATGGTGAATACTGAAAAGGCTCTGTCGCAAAGAGTTATCTACTAGCATTCCAAATGAAAAATCACAATAACAGCAATATCTAGCAAATATCTATAACGGGTCACAATTGAGAAGGATGTTCAAACCAGGGTACATATGTAGGCATGTATTTATTTCAATTTATACAGCCACCCATTTCAGCCTTGGGACTCTGGGTGGCAAACGGTAGTTAAAAACATAAAAGTCAAAATATCACAATGTATTGGGCAACACCGCTCATACACCATGCTCCTAACCACAATAGCTTGCAGATGAAGGAAATGGAGTCAGGACAACCAGAAAAAGCCACAATGTCTGATGTAGGTTGAGAACCTCTTCCACAACCTCCTTCTGATGTAGGTTAGGTTGAGAAATAATGCCTAGCCCCAAATCAGGCAGTGACTTAGCACTGATACCTAAGTATGCCAAAGAGGAATAATCCTACTTTCACTAAGGATGAATTGTCATTTTCTGAGAATGCTGCAGGTGGGTGATCTCTTCGTTGGGTTCTAATGTTTTATGATCCTAAACTGTATATTGACATTTAAGGATGATCAGTGTTATAAAGCTCATAAGAATCAGTTTGTGTAGTGGTGAAAGCATCAGGCTAGGAACTGGGAGACTAGAGAATTCTTCTAGTCCTGCCATGGGCACAAAGCCAGCTGGGTGACCTTGTGCCAGTCACTCTCTCTCAGTCCCAGGAAGGAGGCAATGGTAAATCTCTTTCAAAATGTGGGAATTGGCCATCAGAATTCCAAAGGCCAAAGTTAGTATAAGTCATTGCAATGGAGCAGAGTACAATTGTGGAGTTCCACCAACTATTCACAAGTGCTATGAGCATAGAGGAGGTGTTAGATTTAACTTCATGCTGGACACCCTTAAGCAATTAGCAGCCACATAGTGGTATATTATTAACTGTACAGTATTAGTCAATTTGATGTAGTAGTGAAAGCATCAGGCTAAGAACCAGAGACTGTGACTGTGAATCCTGACTTAGGGACAAGGCCTGCTAGGTAACCCTGGGCCAAGGAAGGGGGCAATGGCAAATCACTGACCCCAAAAAAATTTCTGACAAAATTGCAAGAATTACTCCAGGTGTACAATGACTCAAAGGCACCTCACTCCCCCAAACCCTAATATAATAATATCCGATATCTGACTCTCTGGAATCAAGCAGAAGGTTTTTTTGTTTTAATGAACTGGACTTCTGCTTTGATTTCAAGGGCAGCTCTGAATAGAGCAGAACAGAAGGCATTTCAGTGTCAAAAAACCTGGGATTAGAAAATGGTCATTTCTTTAATTGCTGCTGCTAAGGATTTCTGAGCTGTTCTCAGAATTCTGGATTTGATTGCGTTAATCTATGAGAATTCTAAAAAATAAGCATTCTGTAATCTTTCAGCCATTTTAGAATAAGTCACCAGTGATGTGGCAAAATCTTGTTATTCATTTTTGTAATATATTATTGGCCACCAGGATCTTTCTGAACTACAGTGAGAGATGAGGATTGTAAATAGTACATAAGAAAAAAAAAATCAAGTAGCTAGGCATTATTTAAAAGCAATACCTATCTATTCACTTAGCTAGCTAGCAATTTTATCGCCTGAAGTAAAAGTTGTTCTGTCTGCATGCTTCATTTACTAAATACAGGATAGAGGGCTGAATTCCTTCTAGTCATTTTGCTCTTAAATATAAATTGCATCCACCTCAGGGATAGGATTGTGACAGCTTTTAACAGTCCACACTGCAACAATTAGTGATAGGAAAAACAGCATATCCCCAATGATATTGCAAGGGGAATTTATGTAGGCAGAAGGCAATTATCTAAATTGGATTTTGGAAAGGACACTGTGAATAATCATATGGGAAATGCCATGGGATTTTTCACAACCCTAGGTGGTAAGGACTTGTTCTCCAAAAAATATTAGCTTATGAGGGATTGCTCTTAAAGTATCCACTGGTGTTGGTTTCTTTTTTGTTTAGACTCTTTATTTTTCTCTTGAATAATAAAAAAAACTGCTGGGGAATGCAAGTATTTGAACTATAATCGGAGATCCCAGCACAAAGGAAATAAAGTCACCAACATTCAACCCAAGCTGTGGAATAAAAGGATTATTTGAATAAATTATTCCAGTTGGCACATTTGAAAGGATCATACAGCTAGCATAGCCATGTCCTGAAAGTTGTTAGTTTTACTAATCATATTTCAAAAAAGAAGGATGAAAAAAAAAAAGAGAGAGAAGACAAATGTGGTCCTTTTTTCATTTATAATGATACACTGCTATTTTTTATTTCATCTTTCTGGCCTCTTTCTTTGTTAGTATTAGCACAAATACTGTTATTTTGATACAAACCAAAATCCAATCATAAAACCAGGCCTCAATTTTCTTAAATGTTCAAAATGTGGGAGTGAATGGAAGAAGGATGTACATTTAGATGCATAGCTATATATGGACATGATCTAATAGTTATTCGCATTGCAAGTCCTGTGTGAGAAAATGCATTTAAATACATCTCACACATTTAGATGGAGGGGGAAATTTTAGATCCTTATTCACAAAAGTTATCATAATATTTTGATCCACAAGATTTAACCCCACAAGACAATGTGTATGTGGAAGACATACATTAGGGCATAAAAATATCTCCAGCTGAACTGAGGAACATCAAGCGATCTGTGTTTTCTATTCAAATGGTACATAGAAAATTGGGGGTGCTGAGGAATCATCTGAATCTTTGGCAAGAATTTTGAGCAGGAGCAAAATATTAAATGATAAGGTCATCCTCCTTTCTTTTGTCCTCTCTTGAAAAGTGTCCTCCTACATGTCCTCCTTTTTGATATTTGAAGACTAATCTGTAAATCTCCGTATTTGATCAACGCCGATCCGATCCTTTGTGTGTGATGTGACTTTTTGCATTTGACATGACCATTCGTCAAGGCTCAGTACAGTGCAGCGAGACATGATTATGAGATGCATGCGTTCCATGCAGGAGAATTGTTTTGAGAGAGTGCGCCGCATGCAAGAATATGCCAAATGCGAAAGTGCGTCGTGGGCAAGTGACTTTGTTTATTTTTTCTTCAATTTATTTGTGTCCTTCTTCTCATTGTAAAAAAGTTGGTCACCTTATAAATGAGCCTATAAGAACTTAGATAATTATTTTATACAATCACCACAATGATCTGATCATTTACTTTGTCTTTAAAAATATTGTTTCAACAGAGTCTTCTCCTCACTCTATAGTAGTCCCTGTAACACAAGTAGTCCTCAATTTACAACAGTTCATTTAGTGACTGTTCGAAATTCTAATAGCATTGAAAAAAGTGACTTAAGACCATTTTTCACACTAATGACCATTGAAGCACCCCACATGGTCACATGATCTAAATTTGGATGCCAGTCCATATTTATGACAGTTGCAGTGTCCTGGGGTGATATCTTCACCTTTGTGATCTTCTGACAATCAAAGTCAATGGAAGAGCCAGATTCACTTAACAACTGCGTTACTAACTTAAGAACTGCAGGGATTCATTTAACAACTGGGGCAAGAAAGGTCATAAAATGGGTCAAAATTCACTTCACAAATGTCTCACTAAGCAATATAAATTTTGGGCTCATTTGTGGTCCTAAGTCAAAGACTACCTGTACTTTGGATTTTTCCTGAAGCAAGAGGTTTTTCCTGTGAAGCAAGAGCTAAAAAAGAATGAAGTTATATATAGAGCAGGGGTGTCAAACTTGTGATGTGTTGGGACATTTTCCCCAATCGCTAAACCAGGCATGGGCACAGCCAATACGTGATGCATCCGGCCCACAGGCCAGTAGTTGGTATATTGAGTATGTACTTGGGGGACAGTCCTGATATAGAGCATGTACTTCAGAAGTGGTACTCAGCAGGTTCTGACCAGTTCTGGAGAACCGGTAGCAGAAATTTTGAGTAGTTCGGAGAACCGTTGGTAACCTTCCCCCTGGAGTGGAGTGGGAATGGAGATTTTACAGTATCCTTTCCCTGCCATGCCCACCAAGCCATGCTATACCCGCCAAGCCATGCCCACAGAACCAGTAGTAAAAAAAATTGAATCCCACCACTGATGTACTTGGGGGACAGGGATAAGGCTCTGTTTATTAAACAATCCATAGTGAGCTCCATCTCCAGAGCTATCTTAACAGCATTATGGGCCCAGGCAAATCAGTGTACTGGGGCCCCTAAGACAACTACTCACAGGAATAAAAATATAAATGGTCGATAAAAGTAAACATATATTTGCATAATATATGTATAATTTATTTATAGGACACAAGGTGCATTGAAGGGTTAACATACACAGATTAGTATGGGGCCCCTGTGCTTGTGCCCATCAAGCCCATGCATTAAGACAGCCCTGTCCCTCTCTTTTAAATAGTCTATCACAACTGAACACAATTTGAAAATTGCTACTTTGGCATACAACTTTTTGGGGCTGTGAAACATTTGCGCTAAAGGGAAAACAAGGCCTTAAGATAATAGAACTTTTCTAGTTCGTTAGTTTCCTTTTGCCAAGATGCACTTTCCTTCTGAGTAAACAATTGTGGTCTTATAGACACACAAGACAGCTGCTTCTGCCTCCTAGAACAGTTGACTACTAAAATTGATCCATCGAAAGATAGATGAAGTCATCCTTGAAGTAATACAGAAACTTTTTACTGATTTAAGATAAAACAAATAAGTAAATTAACAAATAAAATAAACATGAATCAATGCATAATATTTTACTCATGGTCAAAGCTCTGGCCTAAAAGACAGACCTTCCTTGTGGTCTCCCAACCTCCAATATTAAACTTTGGTGTATGGAATAAGAGCAAGAGAGTATGTTTCAAAACTCTAAGATATTTCTTCTTCCAGATTCCTACAAGCTGGTAAATTATGAGGTGCTGGTTAGTATAATTTAAATATTTTTGTCACTCGGCTGCCTTGTAGTATTCATCAGTGTATCTTAAAACAATGGATTCTTTCCGTATTACCCTAAATTGCCAATTATAACCTAATTACACAATGAATTAGATGCCAGTGAAAAACTGAATAGCTATCGCCATCCCAGTTCCAGCAGTGCACTTGGCAAAATTATCCCCATTCTTCAAATCATTTCAAGGAAATTACTAATTGAGACCTAAAAGCCACCAAGTTCCAGCGTTCATTGGAGTTGGGTGGCCAATAAATTTGAAAATAATAATAATAATGGAGTACCACCTTTATTTATTTATTGTTCTTTTATCCTGCCAGATTCTAAGTTGATGCTAGCAGTTTTCAAATATAGAAAATTAAAACATAATAAAAATGTAAAATCAAACTCATGATCACCGAAAAACAGGATAATACATTATGCCTAATGATGTCCACTTAATCCCGAAATACCTTCTGAAATTGCTCATTAAAAAAACTGTATCTGAGGAGCCAACAATAAAGATATGAGGCTGCTGGTGCTCTCTGAGCTTGCTTGTTTTTTTGCAGACGTTCATTACACAAATTTGGTAACATCATCAGTGCTAGTAAGGAGTGCTGTTTTCTGTCAGTTTATATTTTGGTGACTTGCTTGTCTGTGTGGATGAGCTGCAAATATTCTCCTTTATTAATAAAGGCGTGAGTCAAATTTTCTTGAAAAAAGCTCTTCCATATTATGAGGGCTCCAGTAAAAAGCATATGTATATATGTATCTGTATATATTTGTTTATATGTTTGTTTGTTTCTTTTTAAATGTTTTAAATATATGAAACTTAAAGAAACTTTATTTTAAAAAAATTTAAAAAAGAAAACGAAAAGCATAGCCTGCAAGCAGAAGAGGTGATCCTTTAGCTATCTGGGTGCCAAGTCATATACTACAGATTAATACCAAATTAAATCAACCTGGAAACTTCCTGGTATCCAGAACTTCCATTGGAAAACAGGAGTTATGAATCTTTGATTGGCCAATGTACAGGCTATTGAATGTTATACCAAGTGAAGTTTCTGATTATTCTTCAAAGGCAGACCCATCAGAATAGAGTTGGAAGGGATCTTGGAGGTCTTTTAGTCCAATCCCCAAGCAGGAGATACTATACCATTTCAGACAAGTGACATCCAGTTTCTTCTTCTTCTCCTCCTTCTCCTTCTTCTCCTTCTCCTTCTTCTCCTTCTCCTTCTTCTTTCTCTCCTCCTCTCCTCCTCCTCCTCCTCCTCCTCCTTGTCCTTCTTATGGGATTTTTATTTTTAAATATACAACATCAATACAGGAACAGTGTGGCATTGGATATTGTTCATTTTGATAGAAATAGCAATAATGATGTTAATAATATTTGTTACATTGGTCAAACTTATGTAATTCTAATATTAATATACATGTTTGTTTTAAACTAGTTATTCGGTGTTTCAATGTGCCATTTTAATGCCAATCACAATATTATTTAAGTATGCATAGTAATGCCATCTTTCAATCGCTAATCTTTCCATCTAATTATTGCTTTTATTCTATTATATAAAAATATGTATGCTAATATTCCACCTATTTCTTATTTCTACCTCTATTCTAACTTCTAATCGGGCCACCATTACTAATCCTAATGTTAATACACATGTTTATAATGAGATATAATACTTCGTTATTTAGTTATTCAATGTTTCAGTGCACCATTCTAGTGCCAATCACCATATTATTTAAACATACATAATAATACTATCTTTCAACCTCTAATCTTTCCACCTACCTATTGCTTTATATAAAAGTGTGCATTCTTATTTCTACCTCTATTCTAGTTTTTAATCAGGCCATCATTATATTAAAAATATTTCCTTTCTATCCATCATCTCTTGTTCATTTTAATACTTCAATTCTTATTCATTTTTTAGCTACCCTCCCATACTCCTCTCTTGGATCTTTGTCTCTATCTACATCTATATCTTTATTATTCAGTCTAAATATTTCCCCCATCTCTATCCTCCTATGCTGCCAAGCCTCCAGAGTGTTTGCTCATGCCCCTATCTTCCTTTCAAAAATATCTTCCTGTATCCGATTCCATTTTTAAATCTCTTAAAGTGCTTTTCCTTTGTTGTGGATGAAAGGGAAGAAGCCCTGGGTCAAGCAGAAGAGTTGTGGCTCTCCTGCAGGTCACCCCTCTTCTCTTCACCAGAGTGGCTTTAGTTCCTTTTGGAGCCCTCCAAGGGGAGAACTTCGTGTGGGAGAGCGGGGACCCACTCCTCATGTCCTATCTCACCATGACATCAGCTGGAAGTCTCCAGTTTCTTCTTAAAAACTTCAGTGATGAAGCACCTACAACTTCTGATGGCAAGCTGCTTCACTGGTTAATTGTCCTCATGGTTAGGAAGTTTCTCCTTAGTTCTAGGTTGCTTCTGTCCTTGATTTGTTTCCATTCATTGTTTCTTGTCCTGCCTACAGGTGCTTTGGGTTGCCCTCCTCTTTGTGGCAACATCTCAAATGCTGGAATACTGCTATTATGTCATGCCTAGTCCTTCTTTTCCCTAGACTAGCCAAGTCCAAATTCTGTAACCATTCTTCATGTGTTTTAGTCTCCAGGTCTTTAATCATCTTAGTTGTTTTTCTTTGCACTTTTTCCAAACATTTTTAAAAAATTTTTAAATTTTTAAAAATGTGGTAACCAAAACTGGATGCAGTATTCCAGGTATGGCCTTACTAAGGCTCTATAAACCGGTATGAATACTTCACTTGATTTTGATTCTATGCCTCTATTTACAAGGATTGTATTATCTTTTTTGGATACTGCCACAGACTAGTGGCTCATATTTAAGTGATCATTCAATAGGACTCCAAGGTCCCTCTCACAGCTACTGTTTTTGAGTCAGGTTTTGTCTAATCTGTACTTGTACCTTTGGTTTTTCCTGCCCAAATATAAAACTTTGCTTTTCTCCATATTAAATTTCATGTTGTTGGATAGGGTATATTGTTCAAGTTTGTCGAGATCTTTTTGGATTCTGAGCTTGTCTTCTGGGGTGTTGGCTATTCCTGCCAGCTTAGTGACATCTGCAAATTTGAAGAGTTCCCCTTCTATTCCCTCATCTTAGTGATTTATGAAGATATTAAAAGAATACTAGGCATAAAACGGACCCTGTGGCATCCCACTGCTTACTCCCCTCCATGCAGATGTAGTACCATTAAGTACGGTTTGTCAGCCAGGTACAAATCCATTTGGTGATGATGCTATCTATCCCACATTTTTCTTGCTTACCAAGAAGTAGGTTGTGAAGTATACTATGTCCACAGCATTTTGCTGATCTACTAATTTAATCACTTTGTCAAAGAATGATATAAGACTGGCTTGGTATGATCTTTGTCAGGATTCCAGGAATTGCCCTAATTAAATCATGGTTCGTGAGCCCAACTTTAAAAAACTTCAAAGGATTTATTAGAGGTGATATACTGGCACTGCCCTGTATGAGGCCAACTCTGACATATGTAATTTACAGTCACCTGTGACCCTGTTTCCCCCTCCTCCCCTGGGTATCTCATAAACCAGATTCTCCAGTTGAGCACATTCACGGGCTGGGTGTCATCATTCACATTCTCCAAATAAATATATTCACAGGCAAAAGCTCTGGTATTTTAGTTACAATCTTTTAAAGATAAGAGTTGTAATGTACTGTTGATTTCAAACTGCTGTACTGGTCTTCCAGATTTCTCCCCCCTCCCCCTTTTTTTATGGCAACTACTACAACAGGCATAGGAATAGCTGGCTGAGGATTCTGGGAACTGAAGTCCACAAGTCTGAAAATTGCCAAGTTTGGGGATCCCTGCCTTAGGTAATTACCTGGTGTTCTAGGATTTTTGAAAGATATGATACAATGGTTCTGATATAATATCTGCCAGCTCCTTCACAACACTGGGATGTAAACCATCACATCTGGATGATTTATATTTCTCAAGATCAGATAGGTGTTCTCTAACCATTTTCTTGCTTATTTTAACTTTTATTTCTACTCTGTCTTTTACAGTTAGGTTTTTGTTAGGTTGGGCTATAGTTTCCTTTTGCATGAAGACTGATGCAAAGAATGAGTTAAGCAGCTCTGCTTTATCTCTGTTGCCTGTTACTTCCTTGCCATCTTCTCTCTTACTGGACTTACTGTTTCCTTGACATTTTTTTTTGTTATTTACATATTGAAAAAAACTTTTTAAAAAATTCTTTGACTTTTTTTTTTTTTTTTGCAAGTCTTACTATTGGTAATGGATAGAATTTATGAGAGATATAGTCCTTTGCCACAGACTGATGTTAAGAGAACAAAGGAATTTTATACATCTGTAAGCAGGACTGAAGCTTCACTCTGATGCCAGAATAAAATTAAGTCAAAATAAACTTAAGTCAAGACCCATGTAGAACTCATTGAAAAAATCCAAACAGATAGGGCTAAGCGTAGAGTTACTGTAGCTAGGTTGTCTCATTACTGGGTCGAAGAAGTAAAGTAAGTAAAGCTTATCAACTGATCCACCATGGGTGTTTTTGAATCTACTAGCGACAATTGTTGAAGAAGAAATTGAGCTCAGGAATCGCCTGAAGTCTTCTGGTATTAATCATGCAGAATACTTAACTTGAGTAGGGTTCAGGATGCTCTTAAGCATATTTATTTGAAAGTAAACCTTGCAACACTTGAATGTACATGGGACTGTCACTTTAAGATTGAATCTTCCCCCAAAGTAGTGAATTTTGTTTCATATACCACAGAAACTGTAGAGGAAAATATGGCCTAAAAATATCACTGTGCAATCTTGCAAAAATGTGGTGGCTTTTTGCATATGTGAGCATAGGAAAATATGTGGAACATGGTAAGTTAATGAAGTCAATACTTAATGCAATAAATATTTTTTGGATAGTATGCAACATAATCAGAAAGTAGGACAAGAAGAGGAAAATTGAAAAAAAATTAAAAATCTATTACATCAGCCTGTCAGATAAAAAAAAGCAATTTTAACAAAATATTTGTCTTACGTTAGCCTGCTAACATTTAGCTAGGGACCTATTTATTTGGGATTTTACGATTCTGTGATATAAAAAAATTAATATTTGGGTAAGATGGAAAATATATAAATTAACGAATTAATGAATTTACAAAATGCAAATGTTTCATTTTTATGCTGCTTCATAAATTTGTTCCTTTTTTTGGCATAATTAATGAATTTGCCTAGCAACTAGCAGAGGTAGGCAAATTGGCTAACCAGGTGCTCTGTAAATTATTTGGACTACAACTGCCATCATGTCTTATTATTGGTAATGGATAGAGTTTATGAGACATAAAGTCCTTTGTCATAGATTTATTTAAGAGAACAAAGAAATTATACTTATCAGCAAGCAGGAGCTAAGTCTCATTCTGATGCCGGAATAAAATTAAGTCAAAATGAAACAGAGAAAAAGGACATATTTTTGGATTGTGAAATAGTTGTAAAATAACCTTTTCAAGTTTGCCTTGTTTGTACATTCAATTATTAAATGAAAAATTAATTGTGGAAAACTCAGATAGCCTTTCCTCCTGATATTTTCTCTTTCCTATTATGTGCATTTCAAAGGCCACTTAAGAAAGTTTCCCCGCAAAGGAGCATATCCAAGAGGCCTCTTTATTAATGGCAATAAATGAAGGAATGAAGCTTTGCAGTTTGGGCTGAGGCCTATTTATACAATATTCATTTTCCTTGGCTTCAGACAACTACAATACTTTTTTACTACTGGAAAATTGTTCCACCTAAATTTTAAAAAATGACCTAACATAGCTATTTTTTCCTACATTTCTGGGCTGAATATTACCCCTTAAAATTTGCTTGAAAACTCCTAAGCTCTTTCAGCAAAAGAACGTATCTATTTTAAAAAGCCTCTTAATATAATTTGTCCATCTGACACTTGTGGCTGCCTTTCCTTCTCATTTTTTATTTTTATTTTTTTTAACAAATTTTATTCAGTTTTTCACATTAAAAAAAAATCTCTTTTCAGTGGACAATATATTTCTGGGTCATCACCTTTACATACAAATATGACAGCAATTATACATTCATATATGCATACTTAATTCTATTATTACCTTTTCCATTCCAAATTTTCAGTAAGGAGAAAAACAAACACATTAATTCTGGCGTCTTTCATTAATCTCGATCGAAACATCTTTTTGTTTCATTTCAATTATTTCAAATATAATCCTTTAATATTTATTTTAAAAATAAAGATAAACAATATGTGCTTGCCTAATAATAATAATAATAATAATAATGGTTACCAATGTCTCTCCTTGCTTTTAATAGTCTATATTAACTTATTAATTTAGTTGGTTCTTTAGTCTGTCATATTTCCTTTCCATTGCACATTCTTTTTATAAATTCTAGATTAATAGAAATTTTAACACTAAAGAAAAAAAAACAAGTATAGGTTTCCCCCCTTTTACTGCTTTGAGTGTGACACCTCAATGATTAAAATATACCTTTATTCCCTCATCTTGATTCCCAATAAACCATTATTTTTAAGAAATTACAATAATAATCATTACATCTTTTCATTTGGATTCCTCATTTTTTATTTTATGTGACTGAGACTACTTTGTAACTGCCTTTCCTGTACTTAAACCACATCTTTGTTCTCTTTGGTTTTAGTTGCCTAACTGACCTAACAAAATATTCCTAGAGGCTTACTATCCTATGTTTTTTAATCTACATTTAAAGATTAAGTGTGCCCACTATACTCACAATTAGGAACATAAATTCTAATTTTCTTTGCTTGCAATGAAATCAGTTATGTCAAAAACCCTCTGATTTACTTTTCATAATATTTAATGTGTTTTGGGTTCTGAATTGTAAAAAATATATATTTTGTAAGTAGTGATTTTGGATTAGGCAGGTAGCTTAAAAATCTCTGAAATGGCCAACAAAGCTGAAAACAGAGAAGCAAAGGTGGTATTCAGCAGGTTCTGACCAGTTCTGGAGAACCAGTAGCGGAACTTTTGGGTAGTTCGAAAAACCGGTAGCAGAAATTTTTTTTTTAAACAAATTTTATTGATTTTCCAAAGCAAATTTCCAAAGAAATTTTGAGTAGTTCAGAATACCACCTCTGACTGGTCCCGCGCCCAACTATTCCTGCCACCCGAGTTCCAGCTGATAGTCTGGGTCTTCTTTTGTTGTCCTGCACAGGAGAATGAAGCTGGATAGCAGGTTAGTGAGAATGGGGATTTTACAGTATCCTTCGCCTGCCACGCCCACCAAGCCATGCCCAACAAGTCACACCACGCCCAACAAGCCATGCCCACAGAACCCGTAGTAAAGAATTTTGAATCCCACCACTGCAGAGAAGTAAAATATAAATGCTTGTCTTCTTGTTGTTCACTATAAGACGTGAATAGTTTGGCAGAAGGTATCTATCATGTTCCTAGTTACTTTCTTAGGTATCATAACACTGGACTCTGTGTGGACACTTCAGATGTGCACCATCTTGACCTGTTTCCGCATATCACCAGGCAGAAGAGAAATCATCAAACATTTATCAGACTATAATTTATTTGGCTACACTTCACAATAGCAATAATCACTGTTGTAAAATGTGAGATGTTGTAAGTATATAGCCTCTATGTGCATGGGGGAAAATTTTTACAGGAGCTTTAAACCAATTTTTGATGGATCTTCCATTATCAGATTTTGCCAGATGTTAACTAACCTTTAATTTCATCTCCATGCAATATGTTGTTAAACTGCTTGGCAATGAGTGGATATAGATCAGGGGCGTTAAATTTGCATCATCATGGCAGCATCACATGACGTATCGGGACTTTCCTCCCTTTGCCAAACTGGGCTGGGCCGGGCAGGGCCGGGGCATCCAGCCCTCAGACTGCAAGTTTAACATCCTGGTATAGACATTTCAACCAAAACACATGGGGTTCATCT